GGGTGCGCAGCGGCGACCGCTCCCGAGGTGGCGGCAGGTGCAGCCCCGCCCCGCAGCCAGGGCGAGGGCGGACCCGAGTGTCCCGCTTTGCGCCCGAGGCTGGCGCTGGAGACTGTCCTGCGCTCGGCGGAGTCGGGAGCGGCAGCGCCCTGGCCCGGGGCAGCGGCCAAACCCGCCCCACCAGCCCGCGGAGAGTCTCGGAGCCCTGGGGGCTCCTCCGCGGACGTTCCCCCGGGCCCTGGGGCGCCTCTGCGGTTTTGCCTCTCCTCTCCCGGCCCTCCCGCTCCTCCGGGAAGTCTGCCTTGACCCCCACCCGGTGACAGGCCCCTGACATCTTCTCTTGCCACCCCAGCAGCTCAGGGGCAGGGAAGGCAGGACCTCGGTAAGACGCCCCTCACTTGGAAGCCCATGGAAAACCACACTCCAGACTTCCCACACTCTGGGCCTCAGTTTCCCATTTAGCCCTGAGGGCAGACATAATCCACCAGACCGCCTCTACACCACGGAGCCTGAGAAATCAGCACAAACAGGTTTCACTTTATTATAGAAAGTTCTGTCAGCTGAGGGCAGCCAGGCCCATCCAGAGAGAGCCAGAGAGGTGAGCTCAGGAGCCCCCCACGCAGCCAAGATAGAGGCAGAGCAGGATCTGGGACCCAGAAGTCAGAGGGAGGCCCAGGAAACTTGGGCCAGCTTTCCTGCATCGTGACTGCATGAGAAGTCCCATCCCCCCAGTTCTATGGGTGCCAGGGTTCACCCAGAGTTTAAGTCAAGGGTGTGCCAAGCCTGACCCCTTAACAGGAGCAGGTGTCATACGCCATGTGTGCTGCTCCAAACCGGTGTTCTCCACACTGCCGGTCAGGAAACTGAGGCACAGTGCAGCTCAGGGGCATCCAAGCAAGGACCTAAGAGGCAGGCCCTCTAGCACCGAGGCCGCGCCCCCTGCCAGCTCCTCCCGGGCTGTCTGCTGCTCTGCGCACCTGGTCTGTGCCACCACCTCTCAGGACTGCCTTCCACAGGCGCGACGCGACGGGACGACCCCCACCGTCCCACCCCACCCCACATCCTCCAGGTCACTGGCCAGGTCGCGCATAAAATCGCCTGACACTTGCCCCTACAGCCCTTCCGAAGCGCCCCAGGGTGCCCTGAATCTAGAGCCAAGCCTGGACCCTCCAGTCCCCTGCACTGCCCTCCGCACGCTCCCCCGCACCCCGTGCTTCCAAGAAAGCGCCGGCTCCTCCCGCCTCAGGTGGGGCTGCTGTCCCCAGCCACTGCGATGGCGGCCCGTGTGGAACTCCTGCGAACACCCACATATACACATAGGCTTCCTAGCACCCCGTATACACGGGCCTTCTTATAGCCACCCCTCAGCGCGCACGCGCGCACACACACACACACACACACACACACACACACACACACAGGGCCATGGGCAGGGGTGCGAGGTGGTGGTGGCAGCATGTGTGGAACTCCTGCGAACACCCACATATACACATAGGCTTCCTAGCACCCCGTATACACGGGCCTTCTTATAGCCACCCCTCAGCGCGCACACGCGCACGCGCACACACACACACACACACACACACAGGGCCATGGGCAGGGGTGCGAGGTGGTGGTGGCAGCAGCTCTGAGTCTCTTCTCCTGGTCACCAGCGCCTGAGGTCGCTGCTGAAGGAAGGAGCGTGCGGAAAAGGCGGCGGCCCCGGCGAGGCGCTCCGTCCCTCTCCCCCGGGCCCGCGACGCCCAGCGCCCTCCCACCTTCCCCGGGGTGGACCGCACAGCTCTGAGTCTCTTCTCCTGGTCACCAGCGCCTCTCGACCGGCTCTGGGTCCCCTACACATCTGTGCTCTTGGTGCTGAAGCTGGAGCAGGGGTGGGATTGGTGGGGATCAGGGGCCAGGCCCTACCCCAGGCCTGGGGCCTGCCCCGCCCAGCCCGGCCCAGCCCAGCCACGGCCTCCCATACCACATCTTGTCCCGGAGCCTCTGGTACTTCTCCTCCAGGACCCTGTTCTTCACCGACTGAGGGACGTCAGGCACGAACCAGGCAGCAACGAGCTTGATGCACAGGGCCACGTGCTGCGGACAGGCGGCAAGGCCAGGAGAGGCCCAGCAAGGTCAGGGGCTAAGTGGGGACGTCAGGGATCGGGGCCGGGGAGGAGGGTTGGAGAGAGAACCCCACCCCCACCCAGGGGCCCCTCCCCCTAGTCTGGCCCACCTCAAAGAGGATGACGAAGGCCAGGCGAATGGCCAGAAGGAACCAGAACTGCTCAGACAAGTTGTAGTCATGGGCGTTGCGGTAGTCGCGGTACCTGGGGTAGGGAAATACCTGAGGTCAGAGATCAGGAGTTCAGAGGGTATTCATGGGGGATGGGGGGTTCCACACCTGCACTCCGTCACATTTTCCGAGCCTTCAATCCTGACAGGGTCCTGGAAGTCCTTGGTGTAGAAGATGGACAGACTGTGGTTGATGTAGCCCGTGAGGCAGCTGGGGAGAGGGAGAGAGGTGCATGGGGCCAGCGTGGGCTCCAGGGTGTGGCCCCTCCATGGGTGCTTCCCAGGGCTAACCTGTTTCTGGTAGGGCAATCAGAGTGGTGTATGTCACAGACCACCTCTCCCCTCACCCCGTGTGGGAGAGGACCCACTGGCCAAGCTCATCACCATCCCTGGGGAGACTAGGGAGCCTGAGGGTCTCTGGGTTGCCTTCCCTGCCAGGGGTTGAGGGGGCACTCCTGGAGGCTGACCCCTTAAAGACCTGTCTGCAGTAGTGGTGGTGCCCTCAAGGGCCAGAGGAACTGAATAAGATTCTGTCCTGCCCTCCTCTGCCAGAAGCAGGACATAAAGGGTCTGAGAAGGGGCCATTCTGGTAGTGCCCACTGAGAAAACAGCTGGGTTTGGGACCTTAATCCCCATCTGGGGTCCTAGTCAGTTGTCCCTTGGCTGTAACCCAGAGTGTGCAGGTTGGTGTGGGCAGGGCAGGGGCCACCCCAGGACCCAGCTTCAGTACAGTCCCAGGTGATATTGGCAGTACCCAGCCCTTCCCAGGAGAGAGAGCCTAGGCTCTCCTGGGACTTGGCTGTGGTCGGGCCAGTTTCTCCCAGGGGCCTCAGGTAAGTCTTAGGGCTTACTCGATTCGAGGGTGGGCCCCACGTCGGCATGGGCCATAGCGGTACTTGTAGACCACTCGGGGGATGAACTCAGATGTGAAGGCGATGACCATCCCATTGGCAATGACTGCCAGCACACCAATGGTCTCCAGCACCTGCAGCCAGGTCCCTAGGCCAGAGCAGTGGGGTGAGGTGGTCAGGCTCCTCTAGCCCTGATCTGCTGGTACTGCCCACCCCACGCCCCAAGGCTGGAAGCCTGGCTGGCCAAGGGGCGTTCTCATGCCTCTGCCTATGGTGCCCCATCGTGGCCACAAGGGCCAGGTTATTCATTAGGAAGTCCCCAGCCAAGACAGATTGAGAGTGGCTCAGCTCTCCTGCAGCCCCTTCACCCTGACATGGACAGGGAGCAACTCAGGTGTTCCCTGGACCCTCATGTTCTGCTTGAACTCTTCAGCTGCCCACAAGCCAGGGTCTCCTCCAGGGTCCCCTCCAACCTGGGGCCTCCCTAACAGCTCTGTCTCTCTCGCTCCCCCTCCATCCAGCCCTGTAGCCCCTCTGTTCCTCTCCTGACACCAGTCCATCTCCATGTGGCCAGTCTGGGCGACTGAGGCCACCTGCTGTCTCTTCTGCCTCGGCACCCCTTGGGGCTGCAAGTTCTTCAGTAGGATTCTAGTGGCTTCAGGGAGGGACCTGCAAGGTGTACCCCAGACCTGCCTGTTCCTGGGGACTGAGGCTTCGTGGTCTCAACCCCTATCCTAGGCAGACCCTGGGGAAGGGCTGGGGGGGCCTCTGTGGGGTGAGGGGGTTACTTAAAAAGATTATTTCAAGGTGACCTGGGGTGGGCCAATGGACACCCCACAGGTCTGAAGCTGCCGGTCCCAGTGCCCCATGCTGGCTGGAGCACCCCACCCTCCTCAGCAGCCACCCCTTGGGGCCTGACCCATGTCCTTGGCCTTGCGTGGCACCAGGCGCCGCTGCAGCCGAACCATCTTGATGGCGTCCAGGCGGATCTCCACGAGGTTGCTGAAGAGCGCAAGCAGTGGGGCCAGCGGGAAGGCGGCCACGAAGATGGTGGTGAAGCCGTACTGCATCACTGCGGGGACAGGCACGTCCCCTCGTCACCTCGTCACCTCGGGGCAGGGCGCCGCCCCCCGGGTCCCACCGCCACCCCGCCCCGCACCACGCACTCATCTCCATGAACTCATCGAACAGGCTGAAGGGGGTGACCGCGTTCAGGAGGTAGTCGCGCTGCCATTCCCGGAGCTCGGGGTCCCGCGACATGCGGCTGCGTGCAGAGGCCGCCACGGAGCGGCACTTGTGGGCCAGCCACCTGGGGGCGACGAGAATGGGTGGGGACAGGAGCGGTGCTGGGGGCTTGGGCGCAGGAGGGACGGGGTCCTGAGGGTCCGGGTGCTGGGGGGCCAGGGGCAGGGCAGGGGGCTGTCCTCACGGGCCCAGGTACTCCACGCAGTTGCTGAGCGTTTGCTTCAGACCCATGATAATGGCCATCTGCACGAACAGGTCCATCATGCAGCCGCTGAGGTGGCACTGTGGGGGTCAGCGAGAGGGGCTCAGGGACGGGGAGCTTCAGCGGAGGAGGGAAGTTCAGGGACAGGGCAGTGAGGCCTTGGGACTGACTGACCTCCTCCAGCCTCCACAAGCCGGCCAGGCGCGTGGACTTTCCAGGGTGACCGTTGATCCTGGGGAGGAAAGAGAAGCTGGGAGGAGGCGGGGGCCAGCACCTGTCCCTGATAGGGAGAGGTGGTGGGGGACGAGGGGAAGGAAGAAACAGGACCGGCAGGGAGCAGGCCCTGCAGGTGGGCAGAGGCGTGACCAACACCGCTCACGTCCAGATGCGCCCCACCGCACGCGCGCTGACACGCATGCACAGCAGAAGCCCAGCCATCCACACGGACAAGCTCACGGGCTCGGACACACTCTAGACAAGGTCTGTTAGGCGTGGCCTTCGCTTCTCCCACCAAAACTGCACATAGGGTTATTTTGTGTTTAAAACCACCTGCTTTCCATAACCTGATAAAAAATATAAACTATCTTAAACCAAAGGTCAGGCTCACGTTCAGTGGGGAAACCCTGGAAGCATTCCTATTGTAGTTCAAAATAATTATTATGTAACATGGGTCTGGAATTACTTGCAGATAGGTGAGAGGAATATAAAGCGGAAAGCCAAAATAAATCAATCGAAAGACTGCGTGGATAAGTCAACTGACCAGCACTCAAGTGGACACAAAACTGGTGTTCAGCTGAACTGGATTTCCTTTCTGCAGCAAAGCCACTGGGGAGATGTGGCCTGAGAAACTATGTCACAGACAGTAGCAAAAGTTACAGAATAACTAGGATGACATTCACAAGAAATCTGCGGGATCTATATGAAGAAAGCTACAAAACTACTGAGGAACATTACAGAGTCCGGAGGAGAGAATCTCGCTCTTCAACAGGAAAACCCAGGGACGTATTTGAGGTAGGCAGAGTGACAGGCCCCCAAAGACGTTCACATCCTAATTTCTGGAGCCTGTGAATTTGTTATCTTACCCAGCAAATTTCATCTGACAAGGCAGATGGTACTAAGGTTGCTAATCAGCTGACTTTAAGATGGGGAGGTTATCATGGGTTATCTGGGTGTGTCCAGTGTAATCACAAGGGTCCCTAAACGAGGAAGAGGGACAGCCACAGAGACACCCTGATGAGAAGGGCTCAGCCTGGCCTTGCTGCCTTTGAAGATGGAGGAAGGGGCCATGAGCCAAGCAATTCAGGCGGCCTCTAGGTGCTGGAGAAGGCAAGAAAGCGGGTTCTCGCCTGATGAGAAGGGCTCAGCCTGGCCTTGCTGCCTTTGAAGATGGAGGAAGGAGCCATGAGCCAAGCAATTCAGGCGGCCTCTAGGTGCTGGAGAAGGCAAGAAAGCGGGTTCTCCCCTAGAGTCTGCAGAAGGAACACAGCCCTGTGGACACCTTGATTTTAGCCCAGTGAGATCCATCTGAGACTTCTGGCCTACAGAACTGTAAGATAATGAAGTTGTGTTGTTTAAAGCCACTAAGCTATGGTCATTTGTTATGGCAGCAATAGAAAACTAATAAGTATCCATGGCAATTCTCTCTGAAATAATGTGTGATTTTGCTGCAATCTTAAGGTAAATCCCACAGAATTTTGAGGGAGTTTGACAAAATGATCCCAAAATTCATCTAAAAGAATAAGCATATGTAAATAACCATCAAAAAAAGTTAAAAAGAAGCATATTAAGAGCAGCTAACCCTGACAATAGAGCATAATGCAATAACACTTAAGACAGTAAGGTACTGGCCCTAGAATTACTAGAATCCATGAAAAGACCAAAATATGTAAGTGAATAATGGAGTTTGGTGTATGAAAAAGAAGGCATTTCAAAATAAGGATGAGGGGGTGGTGGGCTAGTCAGTAAATGGTCTGAGGACAACTGGCTGCCATTTGGAAAACAGTAACACAGACTCCCCTCTTTTACCCCTTGCAACAAAACAAATTCCTTATGAATCAAAGATCCAAATGTTAAAAATTTTAAAACCGTAATTAAAGGAAATCACAGCTGAACACATTTTTAATCTTGGGGAGGGCAAGACCTTTTTGAGATGGCATGAAACACAGAAACCATAAGAGAACATACTGACAAACCTCACCACACAAAAAAGAAACTTTGCTTCTGGTGCAACACAGGCAACTGGATACACTTTCACTGCCCTTTTCCAAGAGACTCCACGTGCAAAGAGGCACTGCACAGAACAACTGAGGCCTTAAGCTCTGGGGCCGGGCTTTCTGGCTTCTCTCTGTTCTACCACCTTTGGGCTATGTGACCCAGAGGTAGTATCTTAACCTCTCTGGGCCCCAGTCATCTCATTTGTGAAATAAGGATAAAAGAACTCCTGCTCCATAGGGCTGTTGTGCAGATCAAATGAGTTGATGACATGAAGAATTCAGGATTTAATGCCTGAATGTGCAGTAGACGTAGCTGTTATAAAGACCCCCGTCTGCCAAGAAAAATTGCTTCAGTCCTTTGTTCTTCAGTACGAGTCACAAACATTCAGTCACAAGAGGGAGACCAGCTATGTAAAGGAGAAGGGTGTGGGAAACAGGAAAATGGACCCTTTAGTAAATAAAAGATAATTAGGGAACAGATGAGAATTTAAGGGTAAAAAAAAAAAATTGACATCAGCAAGAAAATAGTGCATCTATAAAAACAAGGAAGGGAAGCTGCAAGTAAAAAATAGAGGACAAAAAAAGAACTCTTGGGAACTAAGACTTTAATTGTTAAACTTTAAAAAAACAGTAGAAGGACAGAAAGACGAAGTGAAGGAGATCTCCCCAAATGTTGAGTGAGAAGACACAGATACAGAACATTTGCAAGAAAAAGGTGAGAGGACAAATCCCAGAGGACCGGGGCTCCAGAGAGACAGGGCAGAGGGGAAAAGTAAAAACTTGATAAAAGATTGTTTAAAAAAGAAAACTGAAAGAGCCTAAACGGGACACGGATTTTTTTCAGTGGAAAGGCCCACCTATTGCCCAGCACAATGCATGATGAAAAGACCCCCCCCCCTCGTACTGTTCCCCAGTTTAGAGAGAAGATCCTAAAGCTTCCAGAGGGAAAAAAGTAGGTGTTCTAGGAAGGAAAGAAAATCAGATTTCCTGCATACTTTCCCCCAGCCACTCTGCAAACTAAAAGATAAGAGTGCAGTGTCTTCCACGTTCTGAAACAATCTTTTCGAACCTAGATTGCTTTACCCAGCCCTGCCAATCACATGCAAGGGTAGAAAAATGACATTTTTAGACATAAAAGAATTCAGAACGTTTACCTCCCAAATATACTTACTTATGAAGGCAAAAACCAAGAAAGAAGAAGGCTTGGTAACCCAGGAGATGGTGGACCCAACCCAGGAAAGCAGCAGAGGCAAGTCCCAAGAAGACAGCTGAACGAGAGGCCTGGGCCAGAGAGCAACCAGCCCAGCAGGGAGGTCGGGGAGGGCTTCCAAAGAAAGTTCCTGGGAAAAAAGGACTCAATGCAATGGGCAGTATGATATAGAGAGGCTGGATAAACTTGGGGGTATGATAAAGGCATGCAAGAAAAAAAAAAAAAGGCAATCAGAAACTCCGGGAAAAATAAAGAGCCATTCAATAAAAAATGGTCCAAATATGAAGCAAAGTAAAACATGATGCGATTTTAAGAAAGTGACAAAGTCAAATAAAAAAGAATCTACTTGGCTTTGGTGCTACAATAACCCAACAAAAATGCTCAGATGATATAAACAGTCAATCTAGAGGAAAAGAAATGCAATGGTCAATAGATATCTGGAAAGATGCTAGACCTCACTAATAATTTTTTAAAAGGCACCTTTAAAAAATGAAAAGACTTTACCTATCAGTTCAAGATGAAGCCTGCAGCCACCATGGGTGGCTTTGCCAGTGAGCACAGCCTTTTGGGAGGTTGCTTTAGCAATATCTACCTAAATTTAAATGCACACTCCCAACCTCCAAAATGCCTGGCTGCTGATACCTCTACCAGGTATCACCTTGCAGGTGGAAGGGAATTGGATAGGTCTGTAGCCCATCTGCAACACCAAGCGGGGCCTTGAGCCTACAGGGAGAAGCATCTGGTAAGCAACCCAGCCCTGCTCAGGAACCCCAGGATGCCCCAGGACTTGGGCACCCTTGGTGGTTTGGGGGGCACTTGCTGGGGGAGATGCAGGCCCAGCCGCAAGGCCCCTGGGCCTCCTACTTGACCCCTGGACACCACCCCCTCAGGAAGACAAGGTCCACTGGGCAATTGGACACCAAAGATTCAGATCACAGGGTTGGGCCAATGGTCATTGGGGCACCATGCCATCCCTTCCCCAGCTGGGCTCCCAGCTCACTGACAAGCATCTTCCGCCTCCAGGCTGGAGAACAGGGACTCACCTCCAGGAAGCACCAGAATGGGACTTCCAGAGTGAGAGATCCCAACAGAAGAGACGTGGCTCAGAGCAAAGCCATCGGCATGTGCCTTTCTCCATCACGGGCAGATGGCCAAGAATCCAGCACATCTGAGGAAAGTCTCTGACCTCAATATCAGACCAGCAAAAGAAAGAGCATAAGAGGAACCCAAAAGGAACTGAAGCAATGCCAGAGTGGAAGACAAAAAGAGGCACTGTCCCCAGACAGGAAAGGCCGCAGTGTCCAGGGGCTGAGAGGACCTGCATGTCAGAGGAGCCCTGGAGCTAACACGAGCAGGAAAGGCCCACTGAATCATTAGGAAATAAAGTCGGGAAAAACTCCCAGAAGGTGGAACAAAAACATAGAAAATTAGTCCTTTCAGAAGCTCCAATTTCCAAACAAAAAGGGGCCAGAGACAGGAGCAGATGGAGAGAAACATAGTTCTTTCAGAAGCTCCAATTTCCAAACAAAAAGGGGCCAGAGACAGGAGCAGATGGAGAGAAACCAATGATAAGCCCAAAATACATAAGCACCACTCAGAACCGACGGAGTCAGGCCCAGCAAGTACGCAGTGACTTCTTTTCATTTGACAAATATTGATTCTACACACCAGGTCTGTTCTAGTCGCTGAGAACAGTCAACGGGCACGTGCCCACACTCCCCTCTGGAGCTGACATTCCCATGACAGGCAAATCACCAGCGCCAGGCGTCCTGGGCCGCTGAGGGCAGTGGAGGAAAACAGGCAAAGAGAAGTGGGCAAAGAACTGCAGCGTGAAGAATGTGACTGTGAACTTTCTCTCTCGCTCTGAGAAGGTCCTGGGCTTCTCTGAAAGAGACATGGCCCGGCCTGTCCCCTGCCCGTCCCTCACTCGGAGGAAAACAAACAGGGCAGGGGTGCAGGAGGGGCTGGGGCGCTGAGGGGGCCGGGCTGTCAGCCACACAACCTGAAGGTGGGACCCCCACACGGGATGCACATGGGGGACTTGTTTGTGGACTGGAAAGGTTGGAGTGCTTGGAGGTGTGAGCTCAAGACAGGGGTGTGGGCATCTCAGTGCATCTAAATGGTGCTTCTGATGGTGACTAAAGTCACAGTAGCAGATACGGTGTGTAGACGGGAGGGCGGACAGCTGGGACAGAGGTCAGGAGGAGAGGAAAAGCCAACAACAGACGGTGAGGAGGAAGCGGGAGCGAACCAGAGCCCGACGTGGAGGTGGGAGAATGTCTGGTCGCGGTGTGTCTGTATGATGGTGGAAATAATCCAGCAGAGACTAAAAAAAAGCTGGTGAAGTAGTGGGGAGAGTAGGAGTTGCTGAGGCACGCTGCGATGGAAAGGGCCACCAAGACGCAGCACAGACAGTTCCAGGGGACTGGACAATGGGAAGATGCACCAAGAGCCAGAGTCGCCCCAACGTGAGCAGCAAAGCATCCTCCAAAGGCCTGAGAGGAAACGAGGACGATGTGGATTCAGGGACAAGGGTCCTGCACGTGCAGGGTGAGGGGCCTCCGGGAAGACAAGGCGCCAGAGGGGTCTCCAAGGACAGACCAGGTTGCGGGACCCCCGTGTCGTTGAACATGCTGAGAGGTTTGTTTTTAAAGTTCTGGTAGAGAGTTTTGGATGAATCGGCGGTGTGTACGTACCTTACAAAATCTAAGCAAACGCGCCCTAGACAGAGCAATCATTTTCTTCAGAGAGAACAAAAAATGTGTGCACTGATTGGCCCAGAAAGGCCCATTTCACTAATGGGGGGGGGTCTGTGACAAGGATGCCCTCAGCAGCTTTGTCTATAAAGCTCAGAACTGGAGTGACCCCCAAACGTCCTTCTATGAAGCTCAGAACTGGAGTGACCCCCAAACGTCCACCAGCTGACGTGGTTCAGTGAGTTCCAGAACATCCCACAAAGGCTGTGCTTGAATGCAGACCTGAGCAGAAGACGTCCAGAGTGCATTCTCAGTGTAAAAAGCAGGAACGACACTTACTGGACAAAAGCATTACTGTCGGGCTGAGCCCGTGGCGCACTCGGGAGAGTGCGGCTCTGGGAGCCCAGCAGCGCTCCCGCCGCGGGTTCGGATCCTATATAGGGATGACCGGTGCGCTCACAGCGCTCACTGGCTGAGCGTGGTGCGGCCGGTCTCAAAAAGGAAAAAAAAAAAAAAAAAAAAAAAAAGCATTACTGTCACTGGGTATGTTTGCACACGAACCGTAGGAAAGCCTAGAAGCCACCGCACTGCCACCGCATCGGATCGTGGGTGGGGGGTGAGCAGTGGGGTCTGCTCTGGGCTTCGGGCACAGGTTTCTCTGTTGGGTTTCTG